AGCAGGACTAAAAAGGGGAGACCTAATTCAGGTGCCTGAAGCATACAATGTCCATGCTCTTGTGGAAACCACAGGCATTTGTTGGAAGTCAGTGTCGGTTGCATGGCAGGGAATTGATGTACCTCCTGTAGATGCTAGAGGAAACTTTTTCCCTTTCTCAGAAGGTTCTAGAAGTGAAATGACATCTTTTACATTCAGCTGAAGTATAGTTTTTGGTTTGAGTGCATGTTCTGTAAAATTCCTGATCCACACTCATGATGAATTGCAGAGCTCTGATTGGATGGTCTGCTAGCCATGGTAGTCATCATTGTGGAGACATTTGCTTTTACAAATGATGCTCAAAAACACAGCAGGTGCTGGCAGCCGCTGATTTTGTCAGCGTAAGTAAAAATGAATGCCCTTTTTTCTGAAATTCCTCACAGAGATGTTCAGTAGTCCTCAGCAATGAGGTGCAGACACCTCTGCTTCCAGATCTACTCTTCTTTTTTCAATCTATCAGCTCTTCCCAGAAATCGCCACAAAAAAAAAAGAGGAGAGTGATGGTGCAGGTAATGCTGTGGTCCCTGGGGTCTCATAGGGCTGTGCCTACCAGGGCATTGCAATAACTTGTTATAAACTATGATGCAACTTAGTTAAATTAATATCAAATGGCCAGGCAGTGGTACTGGACCCTTGATTTGCTTGCATAATTTTCTTTGCGCTCCCCTGAGGTCATAGGGCTGACCCAGCCACTGATGACAGTGTATGGTTTACTGAAGTAAGGCACAGGTAGCAGATGGAGCTGAAGAGCCCATTAAGATACATAAAATTATTTGCATATGTGTGTATGGTTATTTGCCTTGAACAGCTAGCAATAAGCATGTTCTCATTTTACAGATTCTAAAGATCAAAGATTGGACTTTGTGCTTTCATTTGGAGCAGCAAAACTGCAACTATAATTGGGCAGCAATTCTCCTCTGAATATCAAGCAAAATGTGGGGGGGTGGACCTGCCATTTGTGCGGGTAGCTGGATCTCAGGAGTTTTGCATAAAGGCAGGCAGGGCTGGGGTTCACTGAGGAGCAGGAGAAGAGGATAGCATCCTAGAACCACTGTTGTAGTACAGTCCTCAACATGGTGTAATGTTCTTCAGGACACACCTGCCATCCCAGTGAGATCAGACTGGCTGGGGAAAAAAGGCAGTAGTGAGGGCATGACAGACAAGCTGAGGCATTGGTTACCCAAACGCACACTGTTGCATTGCCATTTAATTAGTGTTGTAATGATGGTGAGGTTGTGATACTTACTTTCATCAACACATTGAAGTTGCAAATGGCATCACCTCACTTTTTGTCTGATTTCTTGTTATAGTTGCATAGTAATTCTTGTATAATAATATAATGGCATAATTTCTGGAGGTGTGATGAGGATCCCATGAATCAGATTGCCTGATTCCATCCTGAAGACCAGTTTGATGAGCTCTTAGCTTTCAGAAAAATGACTGTGACATATCCCTGCTGGTGACCAGAGTGGTCCACTGGGCTACCCAGACCTTAGGCCAGTACCTTTTTAAAGGCCGCCATAGACATCCACAATGGGAAGCAAATGGTGAGGGAATAAATGTGAGCCTCAGGCTGTGACTTCCTCCCGTGACTGCAGTGGCATATGGCAGCAACTGGTCTTCTGCCTTACCTTCAGGAGCATTTTTGGCACTTCTTTTTGGTAACACAGCCTGATAGCATTGAGTGCAGCGTGTGTAGACTGCCTGTGAGGCCGAGTGCAGCTGCAGATGAGGCACATCAGACTATGACTACTACCTGAGAATACCGTGGAAATGCTGAGTCCCAGAGGACCTGTGATTGCATGCTCTCTGGCAAAAGAATCCCTAATTCTTGTAAATGTGTAGTGTCTACTCCAGGTCATGTGCTGCGTAACTGGAAGAGTCATACATGCTTTCTTTAGGCTGTATCTGTTTTCCTTTCATCCAGTTCCACATCTCAGGGAAACACTTGAGGCTGTGGAAGCTGGATTTAATCATTTAGGGCTGAGTGTCAGATCATGGGCATCCCAGCTCAGTATCTGTCATCTTCAGCTCATTCATCCTTATGATCTCATGAAGACCATTCATCACTGCAGTCACAGCCAGGATAGGTGAGATCCTGAAAGCAACTTTAGTGAATGGACAAATATTCAGCACTGTTCTGTAACATGGCAAGAAATGCAGTCAGCAAATACCTGTTGTGTTAATCCCCAAAAGCAGGGCATTGGTCTGGCATGGTAACCTGCAAAAATGCTCCACAAGACCCTGTGGAAGAGAAGAACAAACCTATTGGTCTGAATCTGATGGTCCTGAGCAAACTTGAGTGCTAGCCAGACAGGAGCATGACTCTCTGAGCAGGGGCAATTCCCTGGAGCATCCTGGAAACACTGGATCTGCATATATTTGTGTGAGAACTTGGGCAATCTGTTAGAGAGAAAAGACTCTACCGTGAACTCTGAGAATGTTGCTGGACTCTGGCAGCAGCTACACAACTAAGTGCTCCTGAAAGCCCAACCCATGGAAACTACTTGCACACGTGGAGATTGCTCAGATAAAAGACGAGTGCCATGAAGATTAAGCAGTCCTAGATCAGGAAGAACAAAAGTGTTATCTTTATGGGTGCTGATGTCTGTCAATAATATTAGTCTTAATGGCTTCTGGTATTGCATCTGACATAATTCAGTTTTTGATAAGTAGCATGGAGAAGTGTGCCCTGCAGGATTCCTGGATTCATTTAATCACGCAATGTGTGCGGAAGTGTCCTTCCACAAGAAAGGGGATCTGAGCTCAGGCACTTAAGAGTGCGTGGACTTCCCTGCCTATAAAATTGTCTGCAATGAGCAAACACCAGATGTATCAGGTTGGTTGGAATCACATCGGCTGGTCTGAAGGCAAACAAGATTGAATAACTTCACGTAAGCGGATGGTGTTGGTTATCCACAACAGATGAAGTCAGGTTATGTATGAAGGAATGTTGACCCAAAGGACCGTAATCATCCTGTGAAGCACCAGCCAGAAACTCATGTCTGGTCCACGCCTCCAGTGTCTCCGAGACCCTCCCTGCAGGGATGCTGGGGTCAGGTGGAGCGAGAGTGTGCAGCAGAGGGATGCAGAGACTGTGTTTTTCCTTGGGAAGCTGTTCTTTTGTGGGTATGAAGCCTGGGGTTTCCCTCATTTTCATGGATTGTTTTTTCAAAGGTGGTCTTGGGAGCAAGCAGATAATTGAACCCTGACCTTTTTTGGTGTTTCATACATACAAACAAATCTAGGCATGTGTGTTATGATAGCTGTTATAAACTGCTTGATTTGAGATGCTTGAAGTTTAGTCTGAGTCTTGCCTGCCCTTTCTAGCAGAGCAACTTGAGAAATCATGAAATCATGACCCTCTTGCATCTTGCTGGGGAAGCTCAATAAGATTAAAACTTTTTTGGCAAGTATGTGTGAAGCTGACTTGAATCATCAGAAAGTGTTTTAGAAACCTTCCTGCAAACCTTTCTCTTCCCTTTCAAAACAAAGGCCCTACTGACATAAAAACACTGATAAATATAGTAGCTATTATTTGCAGGCTATTGTAAAATAATACATTAGTGTGACATCATGAGACTCTGCAGCCAGATCCTCCCCCCCCAATACACATATGAGAACAGTTGTTCATTGCAGATGGGGAGAGTGACTCGTTCCAGATATGATGTCACAGCGTGAAATGTACAACATCGTAAATAGGATTTTCATAGGCACAGATAATAGGGCCCATCTGCTTTCTAAGATAAATTTTGGGAGTTCCTTGCTTAAAGGAAAGAGCTGAAGTATTTTAATGCTACTTGATGTAAGAATTCTAATGCTGATTGTAATTAGGTAGTGCATATAAACTGTAGAGAAACCTGCTGCACAGGAAACATGGTAAAACTTTGCTCCTCTGTGTGTTTGCTGGAGCTGGGCATCCACGTGCACAGAGACGCTCTGGCGCCTTCTCAGCCATGGACACAAAACCTGGTTTTTCACGCACATAATGGGCATTTGCACCTGGCTGATTGACAGCTGTTCCAAACTATTCAAGGGGATTCTGCAGAGTAACACAGGATATCCCCTCATCTGCTTCCTGCTGGTGGGTAGATGCTGGTATGGGAATTGTTTGACTCGTCATCAAGCAGAGCAACCCTCCCTTTTCACTTTTTCCTTTCTCTCTGTAGCAGCTTACTTTACTAACAGTGTATTGGTTTTGATGGCTGGTTCTGGGAAATAAGGGGAGAAAAACAACTATTGAGAGTTTTCCATCAGTGGATACCAGTGCTGGTAGAGGCTGATGACAGCGAGTTAGCTCTCACTTTGCCGAAGCGTATAGTATCCCTAGGGTTGCTCCCAGCGGGTTGTCTTTGTTTTCGTGCTGTTGTCCTGGGTTGTGCCTTGTTAACACGAGTTACATAAGGCACAAAATAAGGCATCGCAGCAAAGTATTTAAATAATGCCTAAAGAATACAGAATATATGGTGCTGGTATTTCCAAATTTAAGTAAATAAAAACAATGGAAAACCTTAATAAATCTGCAAGTTCTTCTTCAAGGCAGCAAAACTTTCACATGTAATCAGCTTTATTTTCCTATTGTCTGAGTGTTTCCCAGAACACATAAAAAAATTACATGCCGCAGTAAATCTTTAAGGAAGCAATTCCTGTGAGAGGTTCCTATGATTGCTTAACACAGAAGTGCAAACAGATGGAATCTGTTCGTGTACCAAATTGGCCATTATTTCAAATACACAAGTGGAGAAAGTTTTAAAGTTTCAGCCCAAAGCAGAAGCCTGTCTGAAGGCAGATACCTAGTTGTATTTCCACAAGAATCAAATGCTGTCAGTCTTAACTGCAGTCACCTGAATCACAATTCCCAGGACCCTCTTGGGACAGGAACAGCACTGTTGCGTAGCCTGTGAGTCCTTGGTTGGCTCTCCCTTTCTCTTGGATGGACCAGTTGGTTTACTTTGGAGGGGCGATACGAATTTGTTGCAGGTGACTTGAGCTTTGAGTTGGCAGATAACAAAGCAGAAATAGGTATACCATGGAATTTTAAATGTGTTTAAGACAGTTTGACTTTAAACGTGTTTAAACAGAATTTAATCCTGTAGGCTTTATATGTTTGGTTTTGGAAAATCCTTTTCATTCCTCTTTGGAAATGTTCTTTATCACGGAGTTACTGCTACCATCTGCTTGCAGGAGCAGCGTAAGCAGCCAGAGCCCATAAGGCTGATACCTGCTGCCATGCAAGCTCAGCAGGTCAGCTTTTCCTCTTTCCTCCCATCCTCCAAAATAAGCAAAACCAACATTCTGCTTTTCCAAAACAGAGCAAAACAAGTTGTTTCTATTGTCTGCTTGTTAACAAAGTTGGTGGGTGCTCAGCAGAAAATGTGCGAAGGGAACAGGAGGGCTTGGATCCTCAGTTCACCCAGCAGCAGCAACAACTAATGATTCAACGTCGCTTCCATGACAGACTGCAGTAGATCAGCTTAAGCCTATCATGAAACTGCCTTTTGGCTTGAAATTGCTCGGATGCTAAGTTGTCAAGACTTGAAATGTATAATGGAAATTTAGATGTATCTCTCATGTTTCATAGTAGATATATTACCTACAGCTCTTTAATTTAACTGATCTTATATAAAATTAATAAGATTCAGGCATAATCTTTCTCCTTCTTCTCTTTTTTTTTAAGGGACCCTTGAGAATAAATCCTAAGAAGTACCATGAAGCCTTCATTCCATCTCCAGTAAGTGTAATTTTATAATGCTTTAAAGTTTGTAAGTAAAGGTGCATTAAGATAGGAGTTAATGCTGTGCATGAAAGGTCACTCAGAGGTGAATGAGTTGGAATAAATGAACGTGATCTGGATTTTCTTTTAAATCAAATATTCCCAAACAAATCCTGCCTTTTTCATACCTCAGAGAACTACTTACTTAGCTTGTGCCGAAATTGGGGATACTGCTGGATCCCACAGAAGCCAGCTGAAGTCAGGTTTGAGGACCACCAGATAGCGTAATCGGAAACCCTTGGTTTATGGCTGCAGGGGTTTTATAGATTTTCCACTGATTTAAGTTAATCTTCCCTAAACAAATATGCTCTCCATTTTCGATCTGCTGCATGAGCTAATTTGAAAAGTCATTCCAGGAATAATATGCGTGATTCCTTTTCATGTGCCCGCTTTTGCATGAACTGTATCTTGGTTGGCTTGGGATGTGCTTCTGTCACATGGGACTAGCTCGCGCCTCTTCTCTCTTCTTTCCTTATTTTGACAGAAAAGTAGGGCTCTTGCAATTTCAGGGACTTCCAGTAGGAAAGATGACCTCACAGCTGGCACAGACAAGGCTTTTTATTTGGAACCGACTTGGTCAAAATGTTGCCGTCAATGAGAGAGAGTTTTGCATTGAAACGCTTTGTTGGTGTGGGGGAGAGAAGGCAGAGCCTGCCCTGAGACAGTGAAACACTGACTCTTGTTGTTGTCCCTGCTACTGACAGTGCTGTTTTGGGGCTTGGGTTGAAAGCCTTGAAATTCATGGCACTGTCAGTTCACGTTGTTGATTTGGGATAATGTTTTGGAGCCCGCTTTGTTGGAGAAGGCTGGCATTACAGGGGTGGAGGAAGGTAGGGGGTGCACAAAGTTGGTTAAGATGAACTAGAGGGAGAAGTACAGAGCAGATCTCCAGGACCTGAGTATAGCAGCGCTATGTGTATAAGTGAAAGGAACTGTGGTCCTTCCTTTGCGGTTGTCCTGGTATGTGTGGTAAGTGTAAGCTGTTAAACGTACTCTCTGAAATTATAAAATGCAAGGTTAAATGAGAAATCCATCTATTCACATGAGTTTAATTGGATGTGAAGCTTTATTCCTAATCACCCCTAGTGTCCAGCTGTTCCCTCGTGCAGTTGATTACTCGCTGTTCTGCATGCAGGAATACATACATCAAGGAGGATTGGCCGAGGTTGTTCTCTCACCTATCTTTCTAGTTTTCTGCTGAATACCAGAACCAGCCTTGTCCCTGGTAACAAGCAGAATCAACACCTGGATGAAGATGAGTCTGGCTGGTGTGGACACAGTTGTCACTTTAAGAGAGATCCTTTAGGAAGCTTATTCTTCCTATAAGGTTATTTGCCATAATGGAGGGTTTGCAGCCTTCATGTTCTGCAGGACTTCCCATCATTGCCAGATCCTGCAAGAGCTGCAGCTGTGAAAAATCACCCTTTCTCTCCTGCTGTTGACCTGGGCACTGTACCCCTTTCTCTTCAGCTCTGACTTGGCTGTGGCTTCATGGAGTTCAAATGCAACAGCTGTTCACCTTCTAACACCAGAAGTCCCAGGGTGTTTCTTGCTGTAAATGTGCTCTGCCTGCTTGTCTCAGTGTTGTGTGAAAAGCTGAGGGGAAGGCCCAGGGCCTTTCTCTTGAAAGCTACCCAGAGAATGGACCTGAGCATTTAAATCTCTGCCTCTCATCTCATACCTTCCTTGCACACAATAATGTCATTTGAAATGATGGCATTGTCAGCGTGAAGAATGATACCACTGAGCACGAGTGATGGACTGACTGTGGCTGTGCTATGCTTGTGGGAGATGCTTCCAGAGCAGATGAAAGCACGGCAGATCTCCCTCTTGCCAGAGGGGGATGGAGAGCACTGCCGGGGATATCCACAGGTGGCCACAGAGCAGTAAAAGCCTCGTGCTCCCTGGAGGGGGCTGCAGAAATCTGGAAGCCATTGTGGCCAATACAGTATATGCACCCTAGGGGCAGCTGTGACTTTGCAAGTGATTGTGTTCTGTTGTGATTCGGTGCCATTTTAATTGCATTAGTAATCTGAAGTGCCAGCTGTGTAGAGTAGGGGACTAGAGGAAAAAGTGGGATGCACAAATGTTCTTGGAAGTGTGTAAGTTCACCCAACAATCATGGCCTGGAGCTCAAGATACAGAAATGTTTCTTTTTGGAGGCAAACCCAAAACTGATGGTAGTTTCCTAATAACAGCTTTTTTGCAGGCATTGAAATTAACTGCTGTAAAATAGGTGTACATACACATATAAGTGTGTGTTTGTGTATATGTATAGGGCTATATTGTTTGGGATGAGAGTGACTGGCTGCAATTCAAGACAAGAGTCTTGCAGAGTATGGAGATGCAGCTTTAACTAGGTGCTGTGACACATCGGGCATCTTTACAAGGAGTGGGGGAAAGGGTCTGCCTTGCGTTTTTTTAGACACAGGAAAGAAGGGAAAAAAAGTGTAGAACAAACAAATTATCCTGAATGCCAGGCTGTGTCCTGCAGCTACAGGTACAAACAAACAAAAAAAAAAAAGCAGGCATTTTCCTTAAAAAGTGACTTTGAACTTTTCTTTTTATGTATGTGGTAGATTTAGGTAAAGATTTGGGGCAGAAGGGAGAGGGTGGGGAGAAATGAGGAATAAGACCATGTGTAAAAAAATTTGGCTTTTCGAAAAGAACAGTTTCCAATTTGAATTATGTTGGTCCAAGAGGCTTTGCAATTTTTCTGCATCTTGTCATGGGAGGCAGCTTTCACACAGCTGTTGAGCTGCTGCTGCTTTTCTTTCTAAGAGTAATTTGGTCTCTTGGAGGACGGCCTTAGTATCACATCATGGCAGGGTTCTGCCGTTTTATTGTTTTGGTATCTAAGCAGAGTAAGATATTTATGTGATATTAGGGCTTCATGTTTTCAGGTTATAAAAGAAGTTTTTCTTGGAGACTTAGCACACTGGTAGTTCTGATTGGATTTACTCAAGCATATGAGTGTGTATCTGAGAAGCTACTGAAGTTATGATTAAGATTTTATTTCTTGTGAGGCCGTTCTTTTTCAATGAATGGCAATGAAGTACTAATCTAAAGAAACTCATCTTTTTTTTTTTTTTTTTTTTTTTTTTTTTTTTTTTTTTTTTTTTTTTTTTTTTTGTACCTCAAAACTATGCAAAGATAACTCTCTCTCAAAAAACTATGTTGACTGCTCACGTTGATACTAAATGCTCACATTGTTTGACTAGTTCATGGGCACTGTAAACAGACCCATGGAATTTTTCATGTACCGAATTATGGGAAAACAGAAATGAACACAGCAAGAGCACTGTCAATAATTACTCCCCAAAAAAGGACAAAACTGGTAATCCTTTAAAAACTGAAACCTTGGTGTTGGCATCTTCAGGAAACTTCATCTTTATTCACTCCATGAAGAAAATCTTCCAAACTAAATCTAGATTAGCCAAATACCAAACATGTCTGGGATGGATAATCATAGTGTGTACAATTAATAGAGGCTCTTGTGCAAGGATGTTAACCTGGAGTCTTGAGAGAAGGTGTCCTAACATGTCTGTTACAGTAAAAGATCTTCTGGCTTGCAGTTGGCATCTGTAGTCATCATTTTTTGGAATCTCTTCTAACATCAGTTGTGCCAAATGCAGAATTTATGGTGTTAATGAATTAAAAAAAAAAAGAGACTGCATCCCCAGCCACTCTCCAGGCCATCTTCACAGACTGACCTGCTGATCCCAGAGCTGTGTGTCCCTGCTTTCCCATCTCACCAGGAGAGCAACAGGCAGCTCTGCACATTACCGAGACTGTCTTGCAAACATGTTCTGAACAATAGCTTTGAGTGCCTGAGTTGGGAACTTAATGTGTGAAGAGCTGTGACTGCAGAAAACTCTCTCCCCATTCCCAAGAGTAACTGCAGAGGAACTGAGCAGAGCTTGCAGACAATACATCTTGAGGGCTTGGCTCTGTCTTGAATAAATAGTGTGGAACTACTGTGCTGGCACATACACACAAAAGAGCTTATTTGCTGAAAGATATTGCATGTCGAAGTGCATATGGTGAATCCATTTCATTTCTGTGCACAACTATGGGATGTTTGTCTCACCAGGGTGTGTGTCTTTTTTGATGATGGTGTTTTAAACCTCTGTAATTTAATATGTTTTGGTCTGGCATTTATTTTTCTTCCTCTTTGACTAGGATGGGACTCGCGATATCTTTATTGACGGAGTGGTTGCTCGCAACAGAGCCCTGAATGGTGACATCGTGGTAGTGAAACTGCTTCCCAAGGAGCAATGGAAGGTCAGTTCAGTATACTTTTCTGTGATTTGACAGAAGGAGCTTATTACTGTTTTCTTTGCTAAACTTAGGGCCTGAGACAGAGAACAGAGAATTTCCTACAAATCAGATGAGCTAAACTGTGGTTTATGCTGCTGTAAATTAAAACACTTTATCCATTACAATGTTTGGAAGAAGTGAAACCTCACACTTTGCACAGAATGGCCTTCTTTATCACTGTATGAAGTCTGACGACAAGGTTGGTTCAAAGCATGGTTGTCGGAGGTGACTTTTGATACCTGTTACTTAGCTGTCTTCATGCTGTGGCATTGGATAGCTCTGTGGAGGTGTTTGCAATTGCTCATGTATTTGACAAGTGCTGTTCACAAAGCTTTCCTAATGATTAACTCTCTGTAATATGTGGGTCCTCAGTCTATGGCAATCTTATCTTGTCACAACTCCATATTTTGTTGGTAATACTTTTCTTTGCATGAATGAAGAATGTGTGAAATGAATGGAGCGATGCAAATGTGGGACAATCTGTTTTCCATTTTCATGTCTGAAAATTTCACTAAGATCACTTTTTTTTTCTTTCACTGATCAAACTTGAAGTCCTTTCAAACATCTGGATAATTTTGTCTTGTTTGCAGGTTTATCTTTTAACACCACTATGCAAGGAAAGTTCATACTCCTTTTCTCTAGTTGCTGGGAGATGTAAGCTACGCTTAGCAATTTTAACATGGGTTTTCACATATAAACATGACACAACTGCCACAAATTATTTACTAAACATGGTTTTTGAATGCTTCTTGAGAATTTAAAGACTACTGTTTAACTTTTGGACAAAAGTGATAGTGAGGGTGATTTCAGCAGTCTGAACTACTTTGGCCTGGTGCTTTTTACTTATTCTAGCTACCTTCTCTGCCTGTCTTTGTTTGAAGTTACATGTTTTTAGGCTTGCAAATGCAAGGTCTTCAGTCTGGTCATTTGCTGAACCTTCTACCTTCTCTGTTTAAATCTATTAGCAATGGAAATGATGGTTTGAAACATTAGAACTTGTCTCTTTTTTTTAAAGTATGCATAAAATGAGTAAATGACCTAAGTATTTATTGACACATGTAAATGCAAAACTACCTTATGCAGAAGGCAATCATAAGTGGGATCTAAGATATTACAGGTATATCCATATACAAATATAGGAAAGAGGTCTGCTGCTATCTTTGTTACCTCTGAAAACCAATTTTGAGGGTCAAAGCAAAATGTCTGATAGCTATTCGAGAGCCCAAATCAGAGTTCACTAAAGCTGTGATGATTGCTATATATTTGGATCACCAAATCCATATACGTAAATTATCTTTTGTGTTAGACCATTTCATACAGTTGGAAAAGTGGAATGCTTTGGGTGCTTAGATCCTTTGCCAGGACCTGCCAGCACAAAGACTTCTTTGTACGCTTGATAGAGGTTGCCTGAGCTGGAAGCTTTGTCTGCAGTTTTCTATTTATATCTGGCTCTAAACAAAGATAATGCCTCTCTCTTACATCCTCATACCTTCATATGTTCAACAGTAATGTTCTTTTATGAATACAAGAGGAAGGGTTCAGAATATTCTCCCTGTCCTGGGCAAAGGCTGGAATAAATAGAACTGGTGAAGTGGTGTCTGACAGCAAGGAGGCAATTCAGAAGACTTTCAGTGTTTTGTAGTACGATTATGATTCTTCTGTGGTGAATTTAACCTTGCCAAATGAAGTACCTGGAACATGCCAGTCATGTTTTTCAGCCACACAGGTGCTGCCCTATGTAGTCTCATTTTTTGTTTCTTGCCATCAGCAACTTAATCAGCAATGACATCCCTTTTCCCCTGCTCCCTGAATCTCTTGCTATGCACTCGTGTTTGTATTAGCTCTTCGGGAAAGGTGCCACTAAGTTGTACTGAAAGATACTGCATTCTGCCAAGTAATTCATACTGATTAATGATAAACTGTTGCAACCTATTTTAAGTTTTTTCCATTTGTTTAGTCTCATGCTGCTGCAAAGCTGCCACATAGGTGTCTTGAGGGTTTTCTCCTTCCCGTTAGGCCTTTGGAACAAGCTGAATAGCTTCAATTATTTCCTTGAAAAATGTAAATCAGGTGTATGGTATAACCGATGCTCTCAGAGGAGACTTTACAGGCTCTGTACATATTCGTTTGTTAGGATTGAAAAGTGCATACTGATCATTTTTATGGTTCACTATTCCCAACCCACTGAATGGTTCCCATTCCCTCTGTGCTCCACCCAGAACTGAGCTGGGTTTTTTGCTGGTAAAAGTGTCTTACTTACAAGATAAGGTTGCTGTCACAGGTGGGTCTGTGCCTTCTGAGTTTCAAGCACCCTGGATGGCTTCTGGATGCTCTGGGAGAAGATCTTCCTATTGCTAGTGCAGGCAGTTCCTGCCATGGACCATTTCGTGCAAGTCACAGTGTAATGCTTCATCCCAGTAATGGCAGGACTTGACTTAGCTGGGACCTTGGTTCAATTTATGTGTGTAAATGGGAGGAAGGGGGAAACCCTGTGACTGGTAAAACTATGGGGTTTGGATGGAGAAATCTGTGTGCTTCTTTGAAGAGTTGAGAAAGTTAGGAGCTGCCCTGTACCCAGTCAGTCAGTCTTTGTGGTTCACGTGCCTGTGAGAGAAAAACACCAGCTGGAGGGCAGTTTCTCCAGGGATATACCATGTTCTGCTGAGCCTGTAATGGTGATCCCTTACACACAGGTATAAATGTCGCGGTGAAATGCAAGGGGATGGTGAAATACTCTAGATGTGTGGTTATACTTTATGTAATACCTTCTTGAGAGGGACTGCAATCTTTTCTTCCTCCAGCCCTCCACTTCCTGGCTCAGTGGTGGGGAATTTATCAGGCTTGAATTTCTCAACATCATGTCCTTCCCAGCATGTGCATCAAGTGCTTGGATGAGCTACTGTGGTTCTCTCTGTGCCTATTCTGTCTGGTCTTAAAGCTCTGTTTGTTCATACGTCCTCTTGGAGAGCTGCTTGCTGTTCGGTGATGATCAGTGTGTCAGTTCATATTTCTGTGCTTACTATTAGTTCTGATCAAGAGCCAGCAATTTCAGTGTGGCACCACGGCTTGAGGGAGAGACATTTTGTCCTCAAAATGTGTTATCTTGCGCTCCTGAAGAAGGTGGCCATCGGCTTCCTGCCAGGGTCGAGGGGCATGTGTTGCAGTGACAGCATTTGGAGGCTGTATTTCAGAAATTCCTCTCCTGTCCTCTTGTGTTACATCTTGGGAATATTGAGGTGCTATGGTAACTTTCAAATATTTAGCTTTTGCAAAGTAAGGTATTTGACTTAGACTGTTTTTCCAGGTACTTAACCTACTCTTAGCAAATGAAGTCAGAGTATCATTGCAGTTAGCTAGATTGTCCCCTTCGTACTTCAAGCTGTAGGGCTTCCCTGAATCTGTGCCTTTATCTTCTGGAAGAACGTCACAATAAAAGATAGCCAGCGACAGAGGATTTACCTCAGTCCTTGTCAATTACTCCGATAAAGAAGAAAAATAGCGCTTTATTTCTTGACTGATTTTCACTACTTTAGCTTCCACCCATGGGTTCTTATTATATTTTATGGAGTTGTGCTTACATCAATTTCAGAAGCTTCAATTATACAGTGGCATAATTACTGGAAGGCAAAAAAAATGCTGATATGATGATTATAGCAATATTTCTTAGGGTCATCAAGGAGGGAAGCAGAGTGTCAGTATAAAGGATAAACCTAACCCATCTTTCCTCACAGGCTCTTTTTGCCCTTTTACTGTCTGCTTAATTGCCAGACCGAATTTGTTTAATTTCAGATATCTGTTTTGGTTTTTCTTGCAAGATGTAATTTCTTTGGTGGAAGGAAATAGCATAATAAGTCATTTGATATCACTTGGGGCTTGGATTCCTGGCCCAATCTCTGGTGCATTTAGAGTAGTAGTTTATAATGTGGAATGTTTTTCATGACAACCGTCTCATGCATTGCATGCTATGGCTGAAATTTTAGAGTCTTAGTCTGAAAATAGTACGCAGACGAGGACTTTTTGCTGCTCAAAACTGCCTGAAAGGAATTTTGGGGTCCAGCCCCCTTATTGCTTGCTACAATATGCAGGACATCTCCAGTGCTGCGTCTGCTTGCAGCAGTAGTATAGTAAAACAATAACAGCATATACTATATATGTACATAAAGTAATGTACAGAAAATAATGACAGATTAACCCGCCGGTTTCTCAGAAATCAGTGCCTTCAAGTGGTATCTTTTGTTGTTGTTATTGTTATTTCATGAATCATTTCCTCCTCAGCTTGAAGTGCTCCTTTGCACTATTTTCAGCTGGTTCTTTTGATCTTGTCAGAAGGCCTCCAAGGCCAAGGATGTGGATCTGTTCATTTACGCACAGTGCATGTTGCTGGGTAATAGGGTAATGGGTCCAGCATTTTAGTTATGAAGTGTCCGGAAGTGATAGAAATAGTAATTTTTTATAGTTCATGAAAGCACGTTCTGTTCAACTGAGGTGTCAGATACAGTACAGTGCAGCAGGAGATCTTAGAGCTGCCTCTTCTAGAGCCATGCATCAGAGATAAATATTTAAACACTTTCTGTACAGAAGACATAAACTGCAATTCATTTTTCCCAGCTGTGACTGTTGTTGGCATAACTATGAACAAATGCAGAGAAGGAAGGATTTGATTCAAGCAGACATCGCAAATATCACCATGTATAGTTCGAACAGAGCTACATATCCTGGCAAGTCACTGCCTCCAACTGTTGGTGAAAACCTATGAACCATTAGTTGTCCAGAGGGGATGCTAGCTTTGGATTTGCCCTGGTGAATAATTATTCATTTCAACCAAATTCTTCTGAGAGTCAGTTTCTTCTCAAAAATCTCCCAGCTAATGTAAGGATAACAGCAACTCAGGAGGAGACGGGGTTCTTAGAGGGTTATCACAGCAATACTGTTTGAGTCAACCAAGAATGTTGTTTGGAAACATT